TTTTAGGGTAATATGAGTACATATTAATTACCTAATTTGCATAATTAATTAATTTTCTGCTTTTGATATATCAAGTAGTAATCATCATATTTCAATGAGACTTGCTACATAGATCTTCTAGAATTATGCAGACACCTGATTAGTTTTAATTGGATATTAATTACCTAATTTGCATAATGTTCCACTGATATATAAAAAACCACAAATTGGATTTTAATGAAACTTTTAAAGAGAACTATGCAGAAACCCAATTAGTTTTTGGTAAGTATTTATGCTTATTAATCACCTAATTAACATAATTAATTAACACTAATATCTCAATTACTGATCATCACATTTGAATAAAATTTGGTACATAAATGCTCTAGGACAATAGACAGGCCTGATTAATTTTGATTAATATTAATTCTCTAATTAGCATGATAATTCATAATTTTTTTGTTCTGTTCTGTTCATATTAGTTACCTGAATTACATAATTAGTTGTCAGCTTTTCCATCAATATCTCATGTACAAGTAATTTTGAATTAATTTTTAATGTGTCTTCAATACTCTCAGCACACGAGAGTTCTTTCTAAGCTTTCTTTGATTTGTTTTTTATGATGCTGTTCTCTGACATGCCTAGACTGATTGTCGCCAAACTTGACACATATATTTTGACAGGGGCAATGCCTCTGGGGTTTTATTACTTATAATTTTTTCAAATCACAAATACCACCTGGCACCACGCTGTGCAGTGTGGTATGCCAAACGATGTTCAACTTTGACCTGTTCATGGTGGTGATGTCTAGTGTGAAATATCACTATTAGATATGCAGAGAGATATGTATGATAAATTTCATCAGTCTGTGTGTGCTTGAACAGTACGCAAAAGAGAGAAAAACCAAACCATGCATCAGTACTGTATTTATTGCTGCAATATGCAAATTTCAAACTGGATGAGTACAATTACTCGCATGATGCACTAACTCGTAATAATGATTTTATTTTGAAAAAAAATATTGCTAATAATGGTAATATTTCTCGCCTCATTTTGAAGACTGATGGCAACCATAGCTGCAAGTGCACCGCCTATGTTGCATGTCTGTCACACCTAATTACCATAATTAGCATATGATTTGTGAGTGAATTAATGATTTTTCTGTTGTGTTGATGCTTGGAGTTGGTTGATACTCGTAGCATCATAGTATGTATTATTTACTCATCTTCAACTGCAGTTTATTGATAATACTAACCAATGATGTCGCTTGTGTCAACCAACTCTATGAACAAGTAATAGATGGTGATCCCCTATACTAGGAATGCATCTACTTTCATAGATTTTAAATTCTAAAATGTTTGTACTTTTCTTTCAGCAAAAGATCCATTTTATCATAAAGACACAAGAGATGTTTTTCGTAGGTTTTTCGGTGATCCTAAAGAAAAGACATCATATATAAAGGTATGCTCTTTTTGCTGCACGTTCTGTACTATATAATTGTTTATTCTCGGACGGAGCTACATATGTATGTTACAGAGCATTGTACGTTGCTAAGACGCGCACCACTGTACACTGTGTGGAATACCGATCGAAGAACCAGAAAATAGCTGGTTTTACAATTTATTTATTGTAGATGCTATTGCACATATCGGTTGCCAGTCATATTGAATGTATAGCTGGTTTTTGTAACCGAGTACGTGTATCAGCTTTTATGTACATCACTGCATACAGGGGGCTTGGCATGTTATGCACAATTTCCATGTCTCATGGCTTCTCTTGAGATACATTCTTCCCTGACTAGTCATTCATATAAGTAATTGTATGCCTTGGAGTGGACTCGCCTTAAAATAGGAGTTACGGTAATATTGCACTGATGTCTGTCTGTCAGTATGTGTAGCTATTTTAAACTTTGTTCCACTGATATCTGAATGATATCTCAAAAGCCTCTTGCTGGATTCAAGTTGGTATGCTTCTAGATACGCTGCTACTAACACTAGATCTGATTTGGGTATAAATTTGTGCATATTAATTAGGTTATTTACCATTTGACTGGTGGTCATTTAGGTCATCAAATTGGGTTAATTCTATTTCCAATTCTCATAGATGAACAGGACCATTTCATTCAACCTATAATCAGAATCATGCAGTTTTGGTTACAGGTGCACAAAAAAAAGATTTTAACAAAAATGGCTGACTAGTGGCCATTTTATTTTTATTCATGTTCATTTCCATGTCCATTTCCCTGATTCAGTTTAAAGTCTGTACAGAAGTATTATACTCATAGGTAATGTTGTATGTTATGTTATTTTGTGATTTGATCAAACGTGTTGAATTAACGTCCATTTTGCCTGAAATCTTATGCCAGCAACATCATATTTATGTTGAACACTTTCTTGGACTTTAACGAACGAGTGTAAACGGAAAAAAAAATTAATGGTCTCAAGTGCCGTAATGCAATTTCTCTTGTCATCATATTTGTTTCCAGTTTATAAACCACTCTGATTCCATCTTGCTTGTTGTATTCCCCTTGAAAATTATCATTAATAAATCTTTTTTTTTTTCAGGTTTATTTATTACTTCCTCTATATTTATGTTTTGGTGGTTCTATATGTAATTGTTTACGGGCTTGGTTAGATGCGAATATCATGTCTCCTGGTGAAGACTATTACACACCACCGACAGAAGAGGACCTTCGACCCAAGTGGTCAAAAAAAGATCAAAAAAGTAATACCGTTGCTGAGTTAATGCATTTAGCTAGTCCTAACCAATCATATAGGGTCATTTCAGACAAAGAAGAGGAGAAATTAATTCTGACATTTTTATATGAGCAAAATAAACGAAGGGAAATGGGGGCTGACACTTTTAAAGATCTTGATGAGTATAAGCGTAATTTGTATGAGAAGAGAATGGATTCTGAGGGGAAAATAAGTCAGTATGTTGATCCCAAAGGGGATGGCACGCTGATTGATCTCAGTAGAGCTACTGAGCCGTGGTGGCGTGATACAAAGCCTGAGGGGGGGAAAAGTGCAAAGCGGGTCAAAAAAAAGAAAAAACATAAGGTGGTTGTAACTCAGCAACAAAAGATTAATTTTGAGTCACCAAATGACAGTGGCATATCTCTTTGTGTCGGAACGACTAAGCGGGAGGGTAGAGAGAATGCAGAGGAGGATCAGAAATATACTAAGCTCGGCGCAAGACCTAAAGACAAAGACAATTCACCAACGCGCAATGGCGATTCAACACCGCCCAGTGATGGCAATAGCAGCAATGGAAATGTCAATAAGAAGAAAAGCAAACAAAAGATGAAAAGAAAAATTACTGAAGAAAATGAAGATAGTAGTAATGAAAAGGAGCAAAAGGAGCAATCTGAAAAGGTTGAGTCATCTGAAATGACATTAGAGGAGTACTTGAAACAAGCCAAGAAAAAACGAGAAATAGAATTGGCTGCAGCTGTCCAGGACGTTAAAATTAAAAAGGAGGTTGAAGAGCAGAGGAAATTGAAGAAAAAAAACTTACGTAAGTAGCATATTTGTAGGTCTTACTAAATATAATACAAGGTTTGTTGTGTAAAATTCCATGCTAGTACATATTGGTACACACATGTATAGCAAATAAATTATTACTTTTTTGAGGAAAACTACATTAGGATCAAATGTCTGTAAAAGCATTCTCCTTTTGAAAAGACCTGTCATTATACTATTACTTCTTTTGGTGCTTGTGTTGTTCATACATGATGTATAACTGGACGTCTATACAACACAACCTATGATATAGTAGTAGTAGTATACCACACCCACCCACCCACCTCCGCCCCGCAAAAAACAACAACAAACAGTAAAGCATTACATAGTTCCCTAGTATTAACCCTTTGACTACCAGATATTTTTGCCATTCAAAAAATATTTTTACATTTTGTGAAATTGTCATTAAATTTTATAACCATTTTGGTCCATACGGTTTCAGATATTAGTTTTAGGTTAATTCTTACCAATAATTCATATGGGCAGTAAAAAACTGATTTCATTTCAGATTTAAAAGAAGGTGTATACACACCAGAAGAGGATTTATACATGAAACGACGACATGTTGAGGAATTTTATAAATGGTGGGCCAAATCAGAAGATGAGGATATATTAGAAATAAAGCGTAGAGAAGAGGAGGAAAAAGAGGCAAAAAGAAAGGCAATACAAAAAGAAATAAACGCTTTGATGCGAGAAAGCATGAAATCTGAAAAGAAAGAGTATACAATGTTAGGATCCAAGAAAGAAGAGGATAACTTAAAAACCCAGATTGGTATTTAGTTTTATAAAATATTGCTATATAGTATTATATATTTGTAAATGTTGATTTGACATCAGTTATTGTCAACCACATTAGCTGATTATAATTAATCCCTGTTTTGATCGAGGACTATCTGGGTTCCGCAGCCATTTTCCTGTCATGTTTTGACTGATCACATTCAATCTCAACTCACAGAGCATGTTTGATGACTTGCATATTTACATCAATTTTCATCATCATTTTGTAGCCATTTTGGTCCTCAAAATTGCTAAATTCTGATTAAGTATCCAGGGCCATTTGTTGGATAGGGTGTATATGTACCTTGGGTAGACCTCTCTTAGGTTTGTTCATTTCATGTTGATATCTTCAATTCTCTAATTTTGGTGAATATTTTTGTCATTTTTGGTAAAAAGTGATATTTTCGACTTCTTGTTAAAAACCGCAAGTCCGATTGCTTTGATATTACATATATAGGTACTACATGTGGACCTCTCTCAGATTTGTTCATTTTGTGATGATATCTTCAATTCTCTAATTTTGGTGAATATTTTTGTAATTTTTGGTAAAAGATGATATTTTCGACTTCTTGTTAAAAACCAATAGTTCAATTGTTTTGATATTACATATATAGATACTACATGTAGACCTTTCTGAGATTTGTTCATTTCGTGATATCTTCAATTCTCTAATTTTGGTGAATATTTTTGTCATTTTTGGTAGAAAGTGATATTTTCGATTGCTTTTAAAATATACATATTGTTCATTTTCTAATGATGTCTTCAGTTTTTTAATTGAAATGTGCATTGCTAACAGCGGAGCTATCTCAGCCGATAGGCTGCTTGTTTATTCATGTTCTTGTTGATTTCTCACGAATATATTGCCTGATTCAGTTAAAGTAGGACATATTATTTCATAATTTGATGCTTATTTTGTTAAGATTCACATCATATTTTGAGTGTGAAAAGTCAAAAATTTGATAAGTGAAAGCCACCAAATTAAAAACCATGTGAACATGCAAAAATAACAATAGAAAACAATATTTTTCTGATAAATTTGTGAACATTAAAAACAGTGAATATGCTCAAAACATCAAAATTGTGAAAATAAATGGTTTTACAGTAGAATAGAATATACATGTTGATGTATTGGTATCAGTGTTCTG